TCGTGTGCTCTTTTGAAACAGTTTCGTCGTGGAAGGTTATCGGTTGCAGGCCATTAAAATCATTAAAAAAATAATAATAATAGTAATAATAATAATAATAATAATAATAACGAGTAGGGCTTAGACCTAGATGTACAGATCCATAACTACTGTGGAAGGAGGCCGTGAAACTTGTGGGCAATGCTTCGTAAGACCCGTTTGAGTGATTGTGGAAGGCGCCCGTGGAACTTGTGGTCACGCGCTGATTGGAGTTGAGAGAATTGTCGCGTCCATGTGGTGTTGCGTATGGTGTGCGTTGAGTTGGGCACTAGAACCTTGCAGGGGTGGGGTGGATATTACGACCAGTATGGTTGCGCTATTGAACACCACGTCTTGGTTTTAGTGGTTAAACCACCAGTACCTCCACGTTTTTAGGCCATTAACGCGGTGGCTGAATCGGTGTGTGGGGCAGGTCCATGTGCATTTGCATCAGAGCCTCCCCAGAAGGGGCCTAAGACCCCCTGGGGTACTGGTGGTTTAAGAGACTCAAATTTGTTTTTTTCCCCCTTTTATTGTGCATAGGGTTTTCCAGACACCATACTGATCTCCTTTTGGACATATACAGAAGGGGAAACTACGAGGGAGTTACAAAAATGAGCTATACTTGCACTACAGGCCAAGGTACAATTTCAAATTGCAGTTCATGTAATGTATACAACTCAACTCTCTAGTCAGGTAGGGTGCCCGAAGTGCAATTGTAAGTTGTATCTTGCCCCATAGTGCAATTACAACTCGTTTTACCCCTAAAGAGAAACAATAAGGGCATGGGGCATTGGCTGCACTGCTCACGTGAAAAATGGAGAGTGCATCTTCAATTGTAAGTCGTTAGTTGGGAGATTAGGTAGGAGAGTCTCGAGGTAGGGCCTCCTGGGCATACACCAGAAAAAGGCCTAGTGAATGATAGACGTAGAGGAACAGATGGTGGCCTAGTTCATACGGATGATTGAGACAAGTGCTGCTCTTATTGAGGACGGGGGGGGGGGGGGGGGGGGGGGGGGG